CTTACCATCAGGTGGACTGCGTGCTCGTTTGTCACCCTATCCTATAAAAAAAAATGAGACCGTAAATCATAGTTTTATATTAATATCTACTTGATATCGCTACTCGTTCCTCGGAAAAAGAGCTTTGACAAATTTACAATCAAACTGACAAAACAGTGATCTAAAAAGGCTTCAATTTTTTCTTTTGAGATATGTAAATTTACAGATGGACAATAGAATAAGTTTAGCTTAAGTAATAAGAAAATAAAGACTTGTTTTGTTACAAACAATTATCAAGCTCTATTTTATTGCTAGAGCTCTTATTATTTTACACCCTACACGCGTTGTTGTATTGTACTCGGAGGGCGTTGTGTAAACTTTTTGAGTATATCTAGTCCACAGGGTGAAAGTGTAAAATTACGTGCAAAAAACTCTGTATAGGGTTATTTTAACTTCCCTGGAACCACCCTCCGTTTCCTCTTTATATCATCATCATCCATGCGATGGGGAGTCAGAATCTAACTGAGATATTTAAATTTAAAAACTCTTTAAAAACATTTTTTATTTAGTGAAAGAGGTGGTGCTATGTCATATCGTTTACATTCAGTTATAAAGACCATGAAATGGCTCTTTTTTACTTTATACGCCAAACCATTAGTGGGGTATAAGCTACGCATATCTTCGCAGGTTTCAAACAGACGCACTCTACAATACCATATCATCCGCGTAGCTGATGTTTTGACGCTGATATGGTCTGTGTAACAACCAACTCTGATGCTGCTGAGCTCACTTATCAGCTAATTCACATACAGGTTGAAGAGCGATACTGAGTCCATCGTGGCCAGGTGATTAACTTCTAGACATAGATTTAACAACCTGAGCTACTTCTTTAGTCGCAAAAATTATTTTCTCACGGGCAGGCCTGATTTACATTGTATCCTGTTGGTATGTTTCCAAAAGTAGTGAAAATCATTCCATCGTTCAATGAAGCGAGGCCAGAATATATATTTTAACTTGATTTTCGTGATCTTGACACCAGTTCCCGCGGGATTCGAAAATTTTTCTAGTTTCACATATTTCCTTATAAATGATACCGGAAGTAGGTTTATCATACCATTCTGAGGTGAAACTTCAACCTGACCCTCCGGTGCGCTTCGGCAACATGCCTATTCCAGCCCGCAACCACCTTTTTTCGTTTATTTACGTCCTACTATGGAGGACGCCTTCAGAACCATCACAATATTTGTACATAGTTGATCTATAACAATTCTGTTAATATCAAAAGAAATACTATCTCTCCGACAGATGTCTATTTGTTCAGGCGTCCTCGCCCCACAAAAGACCATATTATGACCAGGCCAGACTCACTCCGCCCCTTAGGCATGAAAATATACCTACGCTACGCGGCCGCCTATAAGAGATTAATTCTGTGAGGTTGTCACTCCCGCACTCGAGCTGAGGCGCGCCTTACGTTAACAAAAAAGTATTTTTCTCCTATAAGTATTTAGGTACTTTTGACATTTATTTTTGAATTTTTATTCAAGTATGGCCACTCAAAAAGCCAAAATGTGCTGCATACGGGTGCTTAAATAAATATAGGAATGTCGACTTTTCATTCTTTGCTGTTCCAACGGATATCGAAAGGTAAGATATTATTATTTATAGCTATATCTAGATAATTAGGTGCCTAGTTACTGGCCCCATAGTTACAGATTTATTATTTGATTAGCACGCGACCACAGCTTCGCAGTTTTCGTTTCTTTCGAGTATAATGTCAATGACTTTAAAAAAATATTCAGTATAAGTAGACCTCTCAGTGCTAGTGACTGCTTACTAATGCAAGATCAGCATATACTGGTTTATGTTAAGCACTGTCGATAAAAAAAGAGATTGAAAATAACAGCACTTCTCATTGCTACTCTTTCATTAAGGCGCAGGTTGAGCAAAATGTCGCGCTAGTCGTTATTTGTGCGGTTTTTAGGAGCTATCTACTTTTTATTTAAAAGATATATCAACAAATAAAAAACACATTATATTTCTACATAATCTTGATTCCATAAAAGCTATATCCAATTTTTTTTAAAACGAATAAATATTAATATAATCTCCTTACAACGAAACCACATAAATGTGAAATTATTATTGATAACATGCATCTCCTCGTAAAGTAAGTATTATTTTATTTTGCGATTTACACCAATGGATAGACAATTTATTAATAAACATTTCTATAGTAAATTTTTTTTCAAAAGACCAAAATTTGATTTTATTAAGAAATTATTTTAAAATCTGGGCATATTCACTGCTCACGGGCTTGCTAGAGTCAGTGAGCCCTGAGCTCTTCGACGCGAAGCCCGTGTCGTTAGAGCGTCGACCAGCGCCGCATACACTCACGTAATATCAGTCGATAAATAATATTACTTATTAGGTTATTTATAGGTAGTATTATTTGTTTGTTTTGGGTATAATTTTTCGTATTAGTTATACATATATTTGTTGTGTTTTTTACTGCGCGATGAAGCTTTTTGCGTGTATTTTCTTTGAAGTAAATGCAAATAAAAAAATGAAGCACCATTGGCATGTAAGGTTCGAATCCATAATTAAAATTTCGATAAATATTATAATTTACACTATAAAAGGCTAATTCAATATTATCACCCAACCACAATATCTTATTACGTACAGTACTGCCTCGTTGGTCTAGTGGTTGTAGTAGTGCGACTGCTGATCATTAGGTCCCGGGTTCGAATCCTGGGTCGGGCCCTGTCAGTTATGAGTTTTTCATTTATGTTCTAAGTTATAATTAGTATTACTAAGTTATAGTTTTTTGCTAAAATATAGTATATTATTTATTGCTTGTTTTTTCTTCTTTTTCAAAAAATAATTGAGTACATAAGGTGTTCTATACTTATAATTCGGTAAAAAGTATCTAAGTAGGTACTAATATACCTACTTTTTACTACTAAAAATTTTTAAAACTAAATTTAACTAAAAAAACTAAACTGACCATTTATTTTTTAACTCAAAACAGGACATGGGTTTATTTATACTCTAAAAACTATAACTTTATACAATTAGTGTTCACTGTAAAGTTATATTCGGTATAGACGGTAATTATTAAATGCAACATATTTTTCTTAATTATTAATTACATTTGTCAGTGGATTAAATTTTCTTTAATAAAGTTGGTGATGATTTTAAATAAAAATAAAATTCTGCTCAAGTTTTTTTATTGTTATCTTTGTTAACAACATCGCCTTTAGAACTCTGGAACCGTAAGTGTTTCTTTCAGACGTCCACAATTTATTCAAAATAAAAAAATACTCTTTCTACCGGAGCATTCGTAGCAGGTAGACATAAAATATATTCGATTAAAAAAAATTATGTTGAAGATTGTTGATTTTGAATACTTCCATCCAACGAGTTACGGGACAATTTTGTGTCCCGGAGCTTTGGGGACAATGGGACAGGTGACCGAGAAAAGGGACAGTCCCGTTCAAAACGGGACGTGTGGTCACTTTAGCTATAACCCGGCGACGGCTACGTGGGGCAGTGGCTTAGCAATTAGTTGTTGCGCTGGGGGCCGCGGGTTCGAATCCCGCACGGAACAAGTATTTGTATGGCTTACAAATAATTGTTCCGGGTCTGGATGTTTGTCCTTGTGCAATTTATGTTTGTAAACTGCCTTCACGACACAGGAGAAAATCCTAGTGGGGGTAACGTTTTTTTACAATTGAAATTGAAAGATTGAACCCTTATACTTCTTGTTGATTTTTGTATTAGTACTCGTAGTTAGGTATATTACTTTTCAATACGTGACACGTAAAAATTAACAATAATCAAAAACACATCTACGAAACATCCTATTTATTTATTTATTCTTTCTTGCACCAAATATTTGTACAAAAGGCGAGCTATATATTTATTTACCTATAGTGAATAGGTATCTTTTAAACTCACAATTTTCAATGCTTCATTTTTAATATATAATTAATTATAAAATTTCATAATTAGATAATATATGAAAATACATAATTCTAATATAATGCAACTAATATACCGAATAAAAAAATTAAAATACATTTATCGTTGTACGCTGTGTGTATTTCCATAAATTAGTTCATTGATGTTGAAAAAATAATACTACGTTCGTACCTACAATAGGTGGTGGCGTCGTACATATTTCAAATAAGCAATATATTGAGGCGAGCGGCGTGCCGCCGGCAAAATGCTCAAGGTCGTTCGCATGGAGTAGCCCCTTAATAATGCCTTCACGAGTCGTATGTTTGTAAATAGCAAAAAATGTGAAACAGAAAATGGTAAGTAGGTAAATTATCTGAGTTTCAATACGTTCACGTTGTTTTAATCTTAATTTTTCTCGATGTTGCATATTGCAAAATATTAATAATTACCTAGGTACTTACAACAGCAAATTACTAACACATTGCATAACGCCTCGGTGTATTCTACTACCAACTTATATCAAAGGATTCAATTTGTTTTCTCACAACACCTAACCCTATAGTAGAAGCAGCCTTAACAAAGGCGTGTAACGAGCTAAGTGATACAGACACTCGCACGCGGACCTAAGGTGCATTTTGATATAATACGCGCGCCGCATAATTTTTTTTGACGATATAAACGGTAGGCTAATTTCACGAAGGTCCGAGGCGTGCAAAGTATTATGAACATTAGCAACGTTGTAACTAAGTTTAAACTCGCAAGTTTGCTATCAGAGAGTGATCCTTCTGTTATTGTACTATTATTTATTCTGTGTTATGACAAACACAGCTAGTTAATTTCATAGCCGAAACGATATTTAAATAACAGGCTAAAACATGCGGGTTGTGATCTGACTAAAACTCGTCACAGTGTTTGTGCAATTATTTGTATAATATGTAAAATGCCTACACGATACGAGAGAAAACCCTAACATTTTTCTAAAGATAAAAAATATAATATGAGTACTTACCACAAAGACGGATACAATTAAAATAAATTTCTTATAGGGTAGTACTTACATCATTTTCGGCAAATTGATTATTCACCAAGTCTGAAATTTGGGTATAAGCACTTTTCGTGTCGTTGATTTGCTGAAACAAAATTAAATTTTATATCAGCGCTGTGATTATTCTACTACAGCATAAGGATGAATTTTTGTTGCCTGTTTGTTGCAACGAGGATAAACCACACGATAAAATTAAAACTATTAATATTTAAATAACACAGCGCATGGGCATTAAATATAAAAATCTCTCAAGAAATTACGAAGTTATGAAAGATTTTATAAGGGCTACAGACGGGCTGTCCGGCTTCCTGCGATGACGTCTTATGACGTCACGGCGCGATCTCTTAGTCGGAGTTCACTATTGCTATTTATCACGTTAAGTGAATGCTGTGGCTCACAGACATCTAAATCTATTCTCGATTAAGAATCAAAATCCAGATGCGCTTTCACCACCACTGCGGACCAAGATGGAAATGGAATGCATTGTCGCCGGTAAAAAGGAGAGACCCTTTTAAACACATCAGCACTGAGCCGCTATTTTACGCTTGTATTCTGTGACAGCGTGGTCGTCCCCGGTCAAGCCGATCCATTCGTGCTACAACCATAATATAGTTGCAGCGTGTCTCTACTACGTATAAAACTTAGGATCGGAATTTAAATGACTCTTCTTTTATTATGGGTTAAGATTACTTTTTGGTAATCGTATTTTATTGAGGTAGATATACCACATAGATTTTTATGGATATTATCTTTATCAGATACAGAATAATCTTAGGGGTGACATTTTCTTTGATGACGAATCAAAATGCAGATGCCTTGTCACCACTGAGGATTAAGATGAAATCCCTCGTTTCCAGTCAAAAGGGCCTCCGGTTCTCAACACTCACCATACGAAACACAGCAGCATTAAACTGCTATTTTACGCTGGTATTCTGTGAGAGCGTTTTACTTCCCCGGTTGAGCCGACTCATTCGTGCTATAACCATAATAAAGCTGCAGCATGCCTCCACCAAACGTGAAACGTTTTACGTGGTAGAGCCATGCCACAGCTATATTATAGTTGTAGCAGGAATGGGTCAGCTCGACCGGGGAAGGACACACGGAATACCAACGTAAATAGCAGCTTAATGCTGTTGTGTTTCGTTTGGTGAGTGTAGAGAACCAGACACCCTTTTAACTGGAAAAGAGGCATTTCATCTTAGTTCTCACGACTGACAACGCATCTGCATTTTATTCGCAAACGAGGATAGAAGTAGATGTCCATGGGACACAGCAACCACTTACCATCAGGTGGTGTGTGTGCTCGCTTGTCACTCTTATCCTTTTAAAAGTAGCGTGAAACGTTATACTCGTGTATTCCTTGGTTTGTTCACATTTTACTGCATGATAATATAATATGTGCTTAAAAATAATAATATAAATTTATAAAGAGAATAATTATGTTGATACGTGGTAGATAACCAGTTCCTAGTAACAAATCATTTCATATTAGTCCTCAGGGAACAATCCTTAGACATTTTGATTTTTAATGGAGAATAAATATTAATGTCTGTAGATCACAATATTTACTTACCATTAGGTGGACTGCATGCTTGTTCTCGTCGCTAAAACTGCTTAAACTAAAGTCATTTTAAGCATACTCAGGTACTTAGCATATCAAACGTACATAACATACATAACATTTCACACCTACCACCTAGAGGGGTAGGTAGAGACTACGGCCTTCCATAATACACAATTTTGACACACCCCTCTCACTTATAATTCAACCATATTTATATCAATGTCTAGCGTTAATGCCTTTTACATTGGCATTAACGCTAGACATAGCCAAAAATGCATACATCTATATCTTCTTTAAATATAAAAGAGGATGTTCTAAGTGACTGACTCATCTATCAAAGCACAGCCCAAACCGTGTTGAAATCTGAAATTGCATTTTATGACGTAAGCATCCGCTAAGGAAGGATTTTTAAAAATTCAGCCCCTAAGAGTGTGAAATAGGATGTTACTCTTTGTATACTTTTGGTCTGGAAAAGATTTTTTTTCGGACAACTTTAGTTACGCAAAGAATTGTTCACAACAAATGGTTAGGAGTGAGGTATATATATATATTATACAATTCAGCTAAAAAAATAAAAACACAAGATGATGACAGATGCGAAAAATAGGATTGACAGAATAAAGGGCGGGAAGTATGATGAAAATTAGAATTCCAAGTAATAAGTTTGAAGTAGATTTTTGAAGTAAAAAAGCAATTGAACACGGCGAATATGCAGATATAAGTAGTTCTAGAAACGTACATCTGTAACAGAAAATAATTTATTGAAGAAGGGGGATGAATGTACTGAAGTATGAAGAGATGAGAAAGATGCCTAGAGCCATTTTCAATATTTGAAAGACCTTAGTCGAACTTAAAATCTGTGACCATTATCGATTTTCGAAAAATTATTCCGAAATATAAAAAAGTTTCCATGTGATAGGTTGAGCGCTTCGTGCTTGGATCATGACTGTCTGGACGTTACAACTTAGACGCAGGTAACACCGCGTGGTTCGCCAAAAAGCTGTAATACAAACAATGTCCCAAAGTAGGACATTTTTAATCTAGGGACACAGTATAGGGTTTAAATATTTAGTTGTTGTTAGTGTTTTCAAATGTATTAATAAGGTAAAAAATAAAGGGTGTTAAATGTGAAGACTACGCACATCCCTGCAGTGAAGAGGCGTCTAGCACTGAATTCAAATGATATTTAATTTACTACTTAACGCAAATTTGCCGGAGTTGGCACAGTATTTGTATTATTAAAGCTTAAGAGATAAGAGCAGAACATTTAAGGCAAACACAAGGCGCACATAAAATCATTCTGGTAGAAAGAGCCACAAAATTATGTCGATAAATTCTATAACTTATTTTTAACCGATGAAAAGGGCAACAGTCTAGACAAGGCACATAAGATGAATCTGTATATTTGATTTGTCCTTTACACCATTTTTTTATTTTCGCTTCCATCGTAATACTAGTAAAAAGAACTTATTAGGTAAGTAACAACTTATAAGTTCGTATTTCTGCATTTTGACGGATTAAAAAATATTTGTGATTTTTTTTAATAGAAAAGGGGAGAAACGACCATGCGGCTCACCTGATGGGAAGTGTCAATCACCGCCCACGAACAACTGTAACACCAGGGAAATAGCAGGTGCATTGCCAGCCTTTTAAAAAGAGTAGGCTCTTTTCTTGAAGGTCCCTAGGTCGTATCGGTCCGAAAAAATCGCCGGTGGTAGTCGATTCCACAAGGAAGTTGTGCGAGGAAGAAAACTTCTTATAAATCGCACAGTGGTGAACCGCCAATCATCCAGATTATATGGATGGTATCGCGAGTTTTGTCGCGATGTGCGACGGTGAAATTGAACGGCTGCCATTAGTCTAAACAATTCTTCAAGGTAATCCCCGTGATAGATGCGATAGAATACGCAAAGAGATGCAATAACTCTTCGCAGTACCAGTGAGTCAAGCCGATCAGAAAAGGCTCGGTCGCTGACGATTAGAACCGCTCTGCGCTGGATTCGATCAAATCGAAGTTGCTGGCATCATTTCTTTTTTGCCACGGCCTACTCTTACAAGTGACTACGAGGATTCCGATACTGGCTGAGGCAACAAGTAGGGTGCCCTGAAACTGAGGTTATACGACAAAGGGGTTCTTTTTAACGGTAAACGCACAAACTTTTGTCTTGTGGGAATATAACTGGGCTAAATTTAGTCGCCCTCAATCTGAGACTTTGTTCAACAAAGTCTCGACTTCAGACACAAGTTTGTTCCGGTACTTAGAAAGAAATATTGGCCCGGCCGATGTACATAGTGCTGTCTTCCGCATAGGAATGAATGTCTCCAGTTTGCAACATATCATTGATATGCAGAAGAAACAGGTGGTAGCACACAGTCATGTGAAACACAAGCGTTATAAAGCTTGTAATCGGACCATACACCGTCTACTACGACCTTGATGCTCCGATCTGCAAGAAAACTGTTGATTCAATTGCACAATTTCTTGGGAAGCACATAGGAAGAAAGCTACGAAAGAAGCGCTTTGTGTCAAACCCGATCGAAGTTCTTCGCTATGTCTAAACTAACGATCTAGGTCTACCCCTTGGACTCTACAGCCTCCGCCCATCTATAAGTTAGGTAACCCAGAAGATCACCAGCTGAGCAACCCCGACGGAAACCGTACTGATCACTAATCAGCTGGTGATCCTCAAGGTACCTCATGAGCTGGCAGTTTATAATTGTTTTCATTATTTTGGAAAACAAGGAGGTGATAGCGATAGGCCTGTAGTTGGACGGATCTCAGCGGTCGCCTTTTTTAGGGATTGGATGCACCAAAGCTGTCTTCCATGAGTTCGGGACTACGCCTAGGAAGTAGGAGTACCAGAAAAGACACGTAAAAACCGATGCCGACTCCAGAGCACACATCTTCAGCACTCCATCGGGACTCCATCGGGCCCACTCGACTTCTTGACGTCCAGGAAGATTAGTGCTTTGCGCACCGAGCGCTGTGCAAACAGCACATCCTGCATGGAGCAACACTGCAGGATGCTCGAAAGTCGAGTCGTAAAAGGGAGAATCTAGCAAATCGGCTTTATCCTTTTCGGTATGGGCCAGTGAGTCATCCTTCATGCGCAGAGATGCTAAAGATGGCTGACAGAAGTTACCTTGGACAGCCTTGGCTAGCGACCACAATGCTCGTGTTCCCGAAGGAAGTTAAAATAGTTTCTTGCCAATTTCACCGATGTGCTCTGACTTTGCCTTGGCAATGACACTTTTGAAGAACCTGGAGGCGGAATCATACTTATTTTTAAGGTCGCTGGTGTTTGCATCCAAAGACGTTGCCTCAGCCTAGGCCCGGTAGCACTCCTGCTTATGGCGTGATGTAATTTTACAGGAGTAACCAAACCATGGCTGAGTTCTGCCTCTGATAGGCACCAAAGATGATGGAATAAAAAGTTCTATTCTCGTAAGTACCACATCACATCAGCGACATAATCAGCAACAACGTTGGGTTCATCCGGTGAGAAGCAAACCCAAGGGCAAAAAAAGACCGCATCGTGTCTCAATCGGCCGAGCTAAAGTGCCAAACATGGCGGCAACCTACAGAACGCAACCGTGATGGGAGCGTAAGTGGCACTATACTCTGGATCAGACAATGGTCCGAGAAGGGCATCAAAGGATACCTGATATCCGTCCGGATGAGAGGTCACCCGAAGGTCCAACAGGGGAGGTGCATGATCCTCCACATCTAGTATCCTAGGCAAAGTCATTAACAGATGTATCCGCATGATCGGTTGAACAAGAACCAAGCCATTCAGCGTGGTGGGTGTTAACATAACCGCGAATCACGATCTCTGTGGATGGAACCTGTTGTAGCACGAAGTCTGCAGCTATTTGGACGTGATCGATAAGTCGGTCTGTGTCGGTATTACCGCTATGGGACCTATAGATGCACTCGCAGACGAAGGGATGGTCGTCGCTGTCTACGCGCAGCCATAGTATGGACAGGTCCGTACCTTCAAGACTGCCTAGGCGTCAAAAACAGATGTTCTCTCCGACGTATACGCAAACTCTAACCCGGGACACAAAGGAGTGTTCTAATTTGTTTTGTCTTGGGCAAGGATGCTCAGCGAGGGATTCTCCGTCACCAGGGGTGCTGGTACCCTCCTGGGGTAGTGTTTTATTTGATTCCGTTACTATGTTAAGGGGGCGGGGCGGGGGGGGGGGGGGTCGTTCTAAATTTTGAGTACGGGCTATGCGCCAAAGACTAGTGGCGATACATGACGTCACAGCGGATTGTAGCGTTCGTCGAGCACGTTTTTAGAACTGCTTTACTAAGACCGCTGTATTTTGTTGTTTTTAATGTTTTTTAGTTCCTATATACTATGTACCAACAAACTCATTTTGTTATGAAATACAGATATATATTTAAAAACACAAACACACAAAGCGGTTGTCAGTTCTTCGAGCTATATGTTCGGCCCATTGCCACTTCAGTTTGCTAATCTGTTAGGCTATGTAGGTTACTCTGTGCTACTTCTATTTTTACTACGGAGGGAGTTTTGGCGGGAATTTAACCGGTGGCAGATTGCTGCCCCTGTATTATTGCTTAAATAATGGTTTGAAGTGAATTTTGATATTTAAAAATGGCGCGATTTTGTGTATTAAGAGTCTGCGCATGTGAACTATTAGTGGTAACGGTGAAACAAGTGCTCTGGTGGTGATGTGATTCTCAAGATAAGGTGTCTGTCTGTTTAGGTGCCTGGAGATATTATCGCCAACTGTCAGCTGTCTGCTGGCTCAAGTTGCCGTCAAAATTTCCCAAGAGCTGCACATTGTGACGCATCAACATATTGTGAAGCAGTGTAATATGAAGAATAATTATACAATGTTGTAACTTCAGGCTCAGAAGGGCTAAAACCCAGAGCCGTTTAGGCAGTTTAAAAAAATTATTACTGATATCCTTTTTATGGAGTCTATTACGTAGAGAAATTCCGAGTGTACTCTTAACTCGATATATTCGCTAAGCTGAAGTTTGAGTAATCTAGGTTCAAATGTAACTATTAGTGATCGTGTACCTTATGAGGAAAATGACTCGTATTCATAATATATAGTTCCGTCTTTAACCTAAAGGCAAATGAGGCATGTGCCTAGAACCTCCGGTCTGATCTATAGAATCTTTATAATATCTTTAGTACAATTAAAACATTTATTTCTTGCATATTGCACAAAGTACTTCTTGAAGAATAAGATCACTGCACATCCGCTCCACGTCTCCGGAGTAGTGCCACTATGGAGAAAGGATTTGAAGAGCTGAAAGAATTTAGTACCAGAAAAGGCAGAACTACCTTTGCCGGTCCAGCTATTGTTATTTATAATAAAATATAGAAATGACATTCCAGATATGTTTGCTTAAAATATTAATGAAATCCTATCCTTCTTACCTCCACTATAAGATTAAATATTGTACCAAAGAAACCTCTTTTGGGCGTTGTGGCAACATTTTTACCAGCTCTTAATGAAACTAATCTTAAAGCACGGTCTTTGTTGATTGATGCATCTGCGGTTGGCTGAAATATAATAATATTATTAGTGAGTTTATTTTTTAAGCTAAGGCAAAATATAATAATATGACGATTATGATCTGTGGACAGATTCGAAACTCAGGACTATTTAAACTTTAAAACTTTTAATAGTATTTGATGAACTCGTGGCTTAATTGTGAAAATATTGAATTGCAGGTCTTGGATTCGATTCACGATCTATCTATCGTATAGAAGTATATTATGTGCTCAGTACAAAACTTTATTGGCTGGGCTTTCAATAAAAGTAGCCATTGATCCTTGGTAACTTGCTTACTGTGAAGTTTACAACGAGCGCTTATCCCCCGCGCACAAATTAGATAAGTCCCAGAGCTACCACAGCAGTACGTATAGTATTTAATCAAAATAAAAACATTTGTGAACATATTAACACATAAAAATATTTTCTAAACAAATAACAGTTCGTTATTTTCATTTCATTTCATAAACACTATATTACAAATTAATTTACATAAAATTACCGTTTAAATGAACTTCCATTTTACACAATTTCCATTACGATAAGTAGAAAGAATTATAATAAGGAAAAACTTTAAGTTAATCTTACGTAATATTATGTACAATGGATCTACTAACTGGCTGTGCTGCCACTGGAAATGCAAAGGCGGTAATGGCCACACATGCACAAAGTACAGCGCACTGGAACTTCGGCGACATAATTCCCATGAACTTCCTTTTTTTTTCTAAATCATAATTTTTAATAAGTTTTATTACTATATAGTAGTAGGATTACAGAGTAGCAGTAGTTAGTAGAATTACAATAAATTTAAAACTAAAGTAACGAAACACAATCAATTTTATATTATTTTACGGCTTTATATGAACTTGGACAATTCAGGTGGGATTGGAAAATTGCTTACATATCTTGTCCGCTTGTTAACAAAAGGACATGTTGATAGTTAAGAACGACAAAACCAACATAATTGCTGGCTAATTGACGAAGGTCAAAATCAATTAATTATTAATAACCCATGGCAAACCACGATGTCAATGAACGGCGCTGAGTTAAACTCCCTACTAAGCCCAGCTACAAGTACCTATGTAGCTTAACTTTTATAATTTTCCTAATCTCATCATTACAACACGTCTTAGTTTCATGTTGGGCATGCCAGCACATTATGCGCTAAGAGTTCTTTGCGTACTGCAAACTTTAACCGTTAACCGCTGCGCTTAAATATCGACTTGTACCTACCCTCTACACTTACATATTTTTAAGACTTCTCTAGGACTCTCGTGTAATGACAAAGGGTAAACGGATGACACAGTTAACAATAATTATACCTCAATAGGTTATAAGTCAACTTTATTTGCCAATCTGACCTGGACACGGTGCACTTAATAAACGTCGGGATGAGGTCATGGCAGCCGATTAATGGCCAATGGATGGACTCAATGTTTTGGAAGAGTCCAAATTTTACACAATGGTGATGGGGACCAGCATTATTGATGCGGGGGTATCGACTCTGCACTCAGTTTCCCAGCGTGGTGAATAGTATAAATATTCGAAAATCAAAGAATATCATCCTCCGCATTCTTGTGAAGCCCTGTGTCCAGATTGGAAACAAAAAACAAGTTTCTTTCCCTGTTAATGATTAAATACATTTCGAAAGCATGTGAAGTTCGCCAACACGCAGTGAGGCAGCGCGGCGGACATTTCCTTGCCCTAAAACCCTGTCAGAAATGAGAAGAAGCCTGTGCCCAGTGGTGGCACGTATAATAGGCTGTAACAATAACTGTAACACTGTAAGAGATAGTGATAAATCTCAATGTATCATGCCCCTTATATAACAAAATAGGAAGTATATAATATGGAACAAGTTACCTTTATAATCCAGCAAACACCTAAGAAACGTAGGTACTTCTTACTTATTTTTAATATACTTGTAACAGTTACGTAGCCGTTATAAATATTATACTTTGCATGACAATTATTGGTCTGAAATTAATTAAATATGAGGTCATTAAGTTCTATACATTTTTCAACATTTTAATGTATGTAATAAAACAAAGACGAAACTAAATATTGACATACCATGTACAATTTTTATAATGGTTATACCATTATGAAAATTATATATTATTTATACACTACTTAAAATTATTTATTATCATAATAAAAAAAAAACTAAAAGTAAAATCCTAAATTATCATACAGTCCGTCGATTCAGTCGCGCAACTAGATTTAGTCTAGTGTGTAGTGCGGTTGCAACTACAACAAGTTTTACGAGTATTGTACGCATGGGCACAGGACCGCGTGGACTTATACTTTGACAGAGGGGAACGACTGCGTATGGCTACTCTTCTTCGATCCGCCGTTGGCTCGTGTTGCTCTATATTAAGGTGAAAGCGCCAGGGTGGCCCACGAAATTCAAATTTTCTTACTTACTTACTTACTTATCTTCACGCACAATCCCTGACGGGGTAGCCAGAGAGAACAGATCGCCAAGTGTCACGATCCTTACATACCTCTTTCGCTTCTTTCAGATTCATTATCTTCTTCATACATGCACGTCTAGGTATCCGAGTACTCTTGACCCTACCCTCTTCGAGCAATTTACTCACATGGTCTTCGAAAGTTAGTCTCGGTCTACCTCGACACCTTTTAATATTAACTTTCGCGCTATATATTTTCTTCACGATTCGGTCTTCACTCACTCATTCGCTCAACGTGCAAACCACCGAAGCACGCCCTTATTAATTTTTGTGATAAGGTCATCTTTCAAACCTGCCATATTGCGAATCTCTTCGTTTCGCATCTCCACTGCATTCAACTTGCTTTTATGCTTCTTCTGGCATACCCAGGTTTCGCTGCCATATAACAATGTCGGTACCAACACTGCGTTATGTATTGCAAGGCGTGCACTCTTCACTACGCCTTGCCTTTTGACTAACGCAGTCAGGGCACCATTGACTTTGTTCCCGGCAGCGACACGCCTGTCCACATCTAAATCACATCTTCCATCCCGGCTAAAAGCACTCCCCAAGTATACAATTTCATTTACCTGTTCTAGACATTCCTGATTTACCCATATTTCACACTTCGTTCTCTCTTCGTCCCTTTCAAATACCAGAACCTTAGTTTTATTAGCATTCAAACGGAGACCTTTAATTTCACATTCCTCTTTCATACACGTGACTAATGCCTGCAGTTCTGCCTCTGATGGTGCAATAAGCACTGCATCATCAGCATACAGCAGACAATTTACTTTTATATCACCCAATTTCACACCCAAACAGCTATCTTTCAGCTTCTGTAAACAGCTGTCGAGATACAGTATGAACAGCCAGGAAGACATGACCCAACCCTGTTTTACGCCCGTTTGGACGCTAAACATGGGTGACAGGTCATGCCCTACCCGCACACAGGCTTTACAGTCACAGTAAAGAGACTGCACAGCCCTTAGCAATCGACCATCCACACCATACCCCGGCAACAGTTCCCACATTTTCTTCCTTACAACCTTATCAAATGCTTTCTCAAGATTCACAAAAGCACAGAAAATCTTCTGGTTAGCAGCCAGAAGTTTTTCCGTGATCATGCGGAGAGAAAACATTTGATCCGTGCATCCTCTTCCAGGTCTAAATCCGCATTGTGCCTCTCATAGAAATCTTTCCGATTTCTCTTGCATCTGCATTTTGCATTGCAAATTTTCTTACGTTTTTGTAATTTGCAGGTCAGGGTCAGGTTGTATCTTTAACGTACTCGCTACGGTCGCGAATCATATTTTGTTAAAATACAACCTAACGCTGACCTGCAAATTGAAAAATACGTAAGAAAATTTGAATTTCGCGGACCTCATTGGCGCTTTCACCTTAAGCATGTTTGAAATATATGTAAACGAATTCACTAAATAGTTAGTCTAATTAAACTAAAACTATAGCAATATTAGAGACTATTAGCAATATAGTTGAACGATTCTAAGAACTAAGTCAGTTATAATGATATTAACATTCTTTAAACACGCACCCGCTATTAATCATGCAAGCTACATAAAAGTAAAGTTACAGGCTAAACCACCCAAGGTTGGGCTCAGGCCTCCTTTAGTTTAGTCCTTGAAATATTTTATCCCTCAGAAATGCAGGATTCCTCACGATATTTTCCTTCACCTCCACCAAGCACGTAGTTAAAATGTAAAAAGCAGTAGCTATAACGGATTTTTTTTTTAAATTGAAACGGAACCACCCTTGAGGATATAATAAAAAAAGAATCATTGTATTCGGTTTAATTTGGCGGTGATATCATGCTATATGCGGACTATACAAAAAGTTTTAAAGATTTGTTGTTGAATCTCACTTGCATCTATACAAAGATTCATTTTCATCATTCAACAAATTTCGAAATACTTTTTCCAGTCCGTCTCAGACATCTCTTCTACGGCAACTTTCTGATGCTAGCGACCGCAATAAATACTGTATTATCGCTTTCGGCTGATTATTTTAATTTTGGGGCACAAAAGCAATCTACACGGCGTCAAATCAGGGCTGTAAAGAGTAAACCAAAAGTTTAATATGAATAGAATGAAAAAAAAATAATAGACTTGAAAATATAAAATTCATTATAAACACTCACGCCTGTCAGTGGCACGATCCTGACGCACCTCTCTCACCTCCTTTACATCCACAATCTACGAATACATGCTCGTCGGTTAAGGGTACTCCTAATCTGGCCCATTTTCAATATATCGCCAATTTAGTCGATAAACCTTCGTCTAGGGCATCCCTTCCCGACTCTGCCGTTCATATTTGCAATAAAGATTTGCTTTGTCACTCTTTCCTCGTTCATTCTTTCTACATGACCAAACCACCGAAGCATTCCTTTCTTAGTCTTGGTCACAACATCATCTTGCAAACCTTTCTCTTATCACACAATTTCTCACCCTGTCATTGAGATTGAGCCCTAACGTACTCCTTTAATGACCGTATTTCTAAATAATTTATTCTACTGTCGTGCTTCTTCTGCCACACCCAACTTTCATTATCATACATTAAGGTAGGAACTAACACAACATTGTGAATTGCCACACGTGCCTTTTTTGACACATTCTGACTTTCTACAATAGAGTGAAGAGCCCCATTTATAGGACATATCTGCTGAACGCACGATCCTCGTTCTATATCCTTATCATATCTAACATCCCTGCTAAATTACATCCCAAATACACAAACTCATCCACTTTCTTAAACAACTACTCTTCTATTCTTATTTCCCATATTGTTTTACTTTCTTCTCTTTCAAAAACCATCACATTCGTCTTACTTGCATTTACCTTCATTCTACTTTCTTTTAATGACCTAATCATTAATGTAAGCATCATTTGCAAGTCGGCCGCCGACGACGCAAATATGACTTGATCATCGGCGTACAAACGGCATTTGATGGTAAACTCATTCATTCTTAACCCACGTTCTTCAACTTTAATGTTTCCAAACAATTGTTCATAAATTATTTGATGGTTGGTTTGGATGGTTGACGCATGCGAAAGACTTGATCCGTACATCCAATTCCCTTTTTAAATCCAGTTTGCACATCCCAACATTTTCCGTCAGTTTCTTTCAAAACTCTTTCAATCAAAATCTTAGCATACAGACTTAGTAGTTTTTACAGTCCTGCTATGACACTTTGCCCTTTGCCGTATTGGGACTATATAAAATTTAAA